TTAATGCCAGATTAATTAGGCTTAAAAAATCGTCACGCAAATTAGCCTCCATCTATGTAATTGGTTTTGTAATTAATTTATATTTAATGCTCTTTATTAGTATCTAAACATTCGATGTGACATAATTTTAGGGAACGATTAAAGAACCAAACACCCCCTAAACCAAGGGGAGAAAAATGAAAACATGCGAATACGTCACATCTCGAGGGCTAGATTGCACGAATGATGGTTTACTAGAGCACCACATCCTCACGAGTCTGGTTAGCCTATCGCCGAAGCAGCAGCACCACTGTTGTGAATTCGACAACGCAAGTTGGGCGGCCCTGCTGTCATTTACTGCTGCCACTACTAGTCTGTAGCTTTCCGGATCAAGAAGCAACCAAAAGCAACGCGGAGAAGATATTCATCCACCTGCCCGATCGATCCTCTGCTTGCGTACTGGCTGTGGCCTGTGGCTCTCGCTCTCGGGGAGCACGCCGGAACCAGGTCACAAACAGCAGCGGCGGCGGCAGCATGCCCACACCACATGCGATGCGAGAGAGATGTGTGGACCCGTGGACGGATAAGCACACGGCGCTTTTGAGACAGACAGCGTGGGCGGGCGACGTCTCCCCGCGACGCCATTGGCGGGGCTAGACACCGGTCAAACCCGCCCACGTGCCGCTAGCTTCCGATCCATCATCCATGCCTAATCGCGGATTAACTATTAAGTAGTCAGCAAGTGGTGCTCGGCTCAGGGTCGAGCGCATCAAAAGCAAGCTGCTGGCTAGCCTTGTAGGTCAAGTGGTTAGGCTCCATCACGTATGAATGTACTTGCACATATATAAGAGGAATTATTATATGGAGTGGTGTAGTACTAGTTTAATGTACGTGGATAGATGGATGGTTGCACTCCACTTAGGCTGTTTGGTTGATCCTACTAAAGGTTAGTGATTCTACTAAAATTTAGTAGCACCTTGTTTGGTTCTATTCACTAAAGACCACTAAAGCAGTAAACAAAGGCCCCGTTTGAACAAGCTGAAACGTCGTTCCGACTGATTTGTTGTGAGAGAAAACACTGTTCTGATTAAAAAAGACAAGCTGAAAAATACGGACTATAAGACAAGTGAATAGGGCCAAAGTCTATATTACCCCTAATTAAAGCACATCCCACGGCAGGGACTTGCTGCCTGTGTTCCCGCGCTCCCAACTGTGATCCCACGCGAGCTGCTCAGCGCTGAGATCGCTACTGCTGCTGCGCAAGCTGTTCACCACGAAGCTCCCACTGTGTTGCCTCGCTACTGGCCGGACATAACTCAAGCTTCACATATTAGAAGGTTTCAGTACCTACATAAAGGATTTGGACTCGGTGCACAAAGCTCTCTTTTGAAAGTTGCTAAGTATTACAAATTTGCCGCAAATCCACTCCACACAACATATGATATCTTTTGAATTACTAACAGAGCATGGATCACAACCAAATGATGTACTAGAGCATGGATTTGGAGATTACCGACTTGGGGACGTTGTCGTCTTCTCCTTCGATCCCATCACGGCCTCCGACGACCTGTGGAACAGCGGACGTGGCTCCACGAGCAACGCTGTTAGGCATCAATGGCGCACGGCCTCCGCCGCCCATTCCCAGATACCCCAACATGGGGACCAGATCCAGTGTCTGCAGACCTACTGCGGCGACTGCCTGGGCGACCTCCACCACCGGATGTGCCCCCACCTCTGGCAGGCCGAGGAGGCTGGAACGCGCCGTGACCCAATCTGGCGCCATGGCCAAGAGGGGGTAATGCTTGCTCGTTGCGCCCTTCTTCTGACTGCAGATAGCCCGAGTAGGACTCAAGGTAGGGGAAGGCGTTCACTTGGGGGTTGAGATCCAGGTTCTCCATGTGCGCCCGGGAGTAGAGAGGCTGGGCCGCCGGCGCTGCCGGCGCGTCGGGAAGAAGCCGTAGTCGTCGACGTCGGTGGCGGCGAAAGCAGAGAAGATGCGAGGCACGGAAGAAGAAGAGGATTGAGAAAAATAGTCGTGGTAGCCGTGTCCCTGCCCAGCCATGGTGGATCTCGTCTGGAGGAGGAGGGCCAGCGGCGGGGACGTGGAGAGGAGCAGGGAAGGCGGTGGCGGCACAGGGAGCGTCGCGAGCGAGGGAGACCGAGGGCCTGTTCGCTTGTCTGAATTCCGGAGGAACTTGGATGGTTTGGAGGAATGCTGGAGGAATTTGTGAGAGTAAAACACTGTTCCGGATGAAAAAATAAGCGGATCAAGCCGGATTTAAGGGCACGCGAACGGGGCCCGAGCGCGGGCCGCGAGCACATGCGGAGGGAGAGGAAGCAGGCGGGTGCGGGTAATTAATGAGGGGTATCCCTGTAAACTGTATATTTTAGTCACTTCTAGCAGCCCCTTAGTTACTCAAGCCACTAAACTTTAGTGGCCCTTTAGATGAGGTATTTAGTATTTTAATGACTAAACTTTAGTCACTAAATTTTGAAGGAGTGAACCAAACTGGCCCTTGTTACAGGTGCCGTTTCAAAAGATATGGCTCAGTTTCCAAAAAAAAAGAAAAAGATATGGCTTCTGCTGCTGCCCATCTCTCTGGGGCCGTTCGCTAGTCTGGTTCAGACCAGCCAGCCGGTTGCTCCCCCTCTCAAGTTATTGTTCACCAAACTAGCCGAACAGTGTTTTTCTCTCACAACAAATCAGCCAGAACAGTATAACGGGGCCTCTGTCTCAATTCAACTCGATGTCTGTCCATCCGTGAGCGATTTCTTTGACTAGGGCCTCGTTTAGTTGCGGCCGAAATCGACGCCGCCCTAGATACTGTAGCATTTCGTTTGCATTTGGTAATAATTATCCAAACGATGACTAATTAGGCTCAAAACGTTCGTCTCGCAAAGTACAACCAAACTGTGCAATTAGTTTTTGATTTCGTCAATATTTAGTACTCCATGCATGTACCGCAAGTTTGATGTGATGGAGAATCTTCTTTTTGCATAGTGTCAAAGTTTGGATTTGGGGTGAACTAAACAGGGCCTTGCTATAGGTACTGGGCCAACAACTAAATCAGACTTGGTGTCGTTAATTTAATCACGTCGATCGCCGCGATCGAGCTGTAACCCACTGTTCCCTCCGCCCGTCATCGCCGAAATATGACTCTTTCATTTCCCAGCTCTTCTACGTATGTGCTTAACCATGTAGTATAACACTGCGCACAAACTTTCTGCCGGTTCTTCACAACTTTACACACACGTTGTTGGACGCAGCACCTAGTTGACAAAACTCTTTCGCTAAAAAAAGAAATGTCGAAAATGCATTCACATATATATCTTCGTCAATCTCATATGATCCTCCTGCTCCTATCCATAAGTTAATTAGTATGAGAAGGACGACTTGTTTGACCAATGATCATGGATTTATCAGAATAATAAACAGCACTATTAGCAAAGTACCACACGCTGCCGACGATCCTGTTCAGCTTGTCCTGCACAAATATTAACTTCAGTGTACCAGTACCTAGTGTACCGCTGAATCGCTGATGGAGAAAGCTAGCTACCGCTACCAGAGCAACGCCCTCTAGCTGGGCTAGACAAGTTGGCTCAAACTACCATTTACTTGTGCCGGTTGTTCATGCTGCAGAGTGCAGCCTGCACTGTTTAAGTTACAACTACTCACCCTGTTTGCTTATGCTGAAATTTAGCTTATACTAGATGCTTATGCTGATTTGTTATGAGAGGAAAACACTTTGTTTAAGTTACAACCACATCTAACGTTCGCACCACCTGCACCATACACTGCCACCGCCAACCAAAGTAATCCACGAAGTCCTTGAGTAGCATCCGCTCCAGAATCACATGGAAATGGGGCCATAGTACTTAGATTAGTCGCTGCAATTTGTAGCATATGCAAATATAAGACTATGACATACTCGACTCTCGAGGTCTTGCTGCCATGATTAGGAGGAGTACAGACAGCTCTGCAAAACACGCACTTGAGGCTGCTTCAGGGTCAAAACTATTTGGCGCCATGCCATGCATTGTCAAATATTCAGAGTCAAAACAAATCTTCTCAGCTCCACGCATGTGCACGTTGCCGATCGATCGGATTAGTACTAGTAATACACCTTTGCGCACTTTGGGGCTCCGCGCTTTGACAGACACGCATCTCAACAGCTGTCACAGAGGCCCTAGTCCTGATTATTAGCAACATACATTATGACCAACTCGTACGTGCTACGGTAGGAGGAGTAGTGGATTCCTTCCCTCCTCCTCCTCCATCTTTCTTCCTGAACAACTCGGCCCATCTCTGATTTCTCTCCTCTGGCTGTTGATCCTGCTGCAGGTCCTTGGTTTCTTGCAAGTTGGCAGCACTAGCAGTTGTATTGTACAGCAGCGAGCATAAACCCACCCAGGAATCCAATGCAAGCCATGCATATGAATCTTGTTGCCCCAAAAAGACTAAACACATGTTCATACACCTGTCGAGAAAAGAGGGGGAGGAAAGGACAGTGCACCTGCACCAGCTAGTCACAATATATCTGTCCTCCTCCTTCCAGGTTTTCAGATTCAGAGAAAGGGGGCCGACCCAACCCAAGACGTATGAGAGTTGACAGTGCAACGGTACCGTCCTGAATTATTTGTCAACAAACACACCTGGGCCTTGTTTAGATTGAAAAAATTTTTAACCTGATAAATAGTAGTATTTTCGTCTTATTTGGTAAATATTGTCCAATCGTAGACCAACTAAGCTCAAAAGATTTATCTCGTGATTTCCAACTAAACTGTGCAATTAGTTATTTTTTTTACCTACATTTAATACTCCATGCAAACGGCTAAAAATTGATGTGATGGAGAGAGAGTGAAAAAACTTGGAATTTTGAGGGTATCTAAACAAGGTCCTGGATAAGAGTTTATCGGGTTGCTGTGATGTCAATAATTCAGGTCTGCCTGATCTGGTCAGGTCAGACCTCACAAGGACACACCACTGAAATTTCTGCTGCCGTTTGTGCCAGCAACTGAAACTATTCAACTGTGCTGAAAATTAATTCTCGACGTCTGATAAGTCGACGACGCAGTACGACACTGGCTCCCACCCGCTCCAGCCTGCGTGTGGCCGCTCGTCCATCCCCTGTGCCGGTGGCACAGCGAGCCCAGCAAAAGCTTATGCGCGAGCCGGACTTTATCAATGGCGAGTCACCGGCGCCGGATGCAGCAATCACAGAGTTTGTTGAAAGTTTCGGACAGGACCTCCCGGAGGAGGCAGTCAAGGCAATAAGGGTTGCAGCGAAGTTGGGCAACAAGGAGCTCTGCAAGACCCTAGCTGCAATAGCAGCAGAGTCAGGGATGGCCGAGATGGAGGTCTGATGATTGTGCTCATGCAGCTTTTTCGAGCAACAGTACTGATTTGTTATGAGAGGAAACAGGGCTGTTTGCCACAACCACATCTAAACGTTCGCACCACACGAAGTCCTGCATCCAGCTCCAGAAATATGGAATATGGGGCCATAGTACTTCAGATTAGTCGCTGCAATTTGTAGCATATGCAAATATAAGACTATGACATACTCGACTCTCAGGAGGTCTTGCTGCCATGATTAGGAGGAGCACAGACAGTCATGTTGTCTCAATGGGCTGCACATGTGTCATTTGTGGGTCAGTGAGTTGCCACATCCAGTTTATTAGCGTTGGGGAGTACAAGACAGTGGCTAAGGTATTGTCTTGGAGAATCGGATGGAGCTTTCTGCAAGCAAGTTGTAGGCAGAGATGTTCTGGATGTCGGGAGAAAATGTTTGGGAGTCGTTTTGAAGATGCATATGGGTTGATTGTGGAGGCCAAGTTGTTATGGCCTCTTGTTGTATCCTGTTTGGTTGGCTTTGTGGCATGGGAAAAAAAACTTCAACTTGTGTTAATTCTCGACGTCTGAAAGTGTCGAAAAACTGGCTGCTGAGTCGTAGAAAAGTTTGAAAATTTTTTGGTTAAACAAGTATAAAATATACCTTTTATCTTTATCTCTCTTGAAACAACTATGGAAGAGCTTTTTATTCCACCAATTTCAAAAGCAAAGCCAAAAGCCAAAAGTAGGGTCAAACCAATTTTCAAAATGAATTACTGAAGCATTTTCTCGGTAAAAAAGATCTTCAAAATAGCTTTTGGTTGGGCTTTTTGCTTTTTAGCTTTCCAAACTGTTAAAACAGGCCCAAGTCGTTTGCGTTGCTTGCGCATGTAATTCTTTTCTCTCCTTATTAATATATGCCGGCTTTGTTTCGGGTCTTTCAAAAAAAAAAAGACGTCTGATAAGTCGACCATCATTTTAATCTGACTGAATTTGGAGAAAAAGAAAACTCAGGACTGGACCATCATCTTCTGCTCTGTCTTCATGGTTGATCCCTGCATCCTTGGCTGAAAAGTTTAGGTAACTGCGGCTGCATGGCTTTTTCAGTAGTCAAGACAAATACGATGCTACGATTACTACAGTAGTTTATCACAAGAAAAGCGAGAACAGGTCGGGTCACATGTCGGTATGCCAGGCTCGCTATCAATTCGGCATCATTCGGTCTAAGAAAATATGAACTCACATGTCGGTGTGTCAGCTTGCAGGGCTTTTGTCCAGTCCCAGTTAACTGCTAGGACAGGACCAATTTGGTCATGTTGTGCAGGTGCCTGAAATGGATCCGTTCAAATCTGGCCACTACTGTAGAGGAACATGATGCTGCGATAATGGTTCCGGTCCCAACTCCAAACAATCCCCATTGTTCATCACCTGAATCACATGGCAGCCGGATCACAGCAACGCAGTAATCAATTGCACTTCAGAGGACACTAGCAGAAAAGTGATCATCATACTATACAGGATGCCGAAGCCATCTGCTTCCAACAACCTGTTTATGGCTCATTCTGATGCTAAAGGGACCGCATTTTAAGATCCTCCAAAATACATATAAGCTCATGCTTCTTTGTGCCTCATGACGCATCATATCAAATATATGTTCCAAAAGGAGATAGAATCTAATAGTCAAGAATTCTCACCAGAGACACATGTGCTTTATATTCTATATATGCTTTGGAAGTTACATAATAAGGAATCGAACAAAATCATGCTATACTAAGCACGGTTATATTACAATGGTCTGTGGGCTGTGGCCCTTAGTGTTATTACTCCATCATTGGACTCTCCCACCAGCTTCCATGGAATCCAGTGCCTGGCTCGTGCTCCTCATTTCCACTGCATCAGGACTGTGAAAGGAACCGTTATGAATCGAGCTGCGATGGCTCATGTACGTGGGTTGCACTTGGTTGTCACCCTCTGGCTCACCAATGTGTCGGAAATATGCGTGAGGCCACAATCCTGACCATAGAATAAGGTGAAACTATTAACATTTAACAATCATTAAAAAAGGACACATGATACTTTTACTAACTCTAAGGACTCAATTCTCATAGGTCGTAAGTATTCCTCGCTATTTTTGTTTTCTACAGGAGAACTACATATCATCACATTAAAAAAGGGAAAGAATCTAAGATAATTCATAGAATAACCCACCTGTGATGCCCAGATACACGGTACAGACACAGGTACGTGATATTTAGGGTGTTTGGTTTGAGAAAAGAAAAAGTCAATTTTTGGCCCTTCAACTATGGGTGCAGTTTTGTTCTAGCCCTCTAACTCGAAAACCAGACACGCGCAGTCCCTTAAATCTCAAAACCAGTTAAAATTGGCCCTCGCGCCCATTCGAAAGCGGTTTCCGCACAGTAAACCCGCCACGACCCCGCCTGTCAAGCCTTTCCCTCTCACCGCTAGGTTGGGACCACATGTCATCCCCCTCCCTCTCTTCACAGGCCCCTGTCAGGCCTTTCCCCAACCTCCCGCCCTGTACGGCTGCGCGCTCGCGCGTGCGGGCGCCCGTGGCCTGCCTCGGCAATGCCCGGAGACGGGGGTCGCCGGAGCTTCCGGCAGCGGCGCAAGCGGCGTCACCATGTGCGGGATTGGGGAGAGCTCAGCGGCCGCGTCGCGTCACGTGTGCCCGTGGCCAGCCTGCTCCGGGCTCCCTCCGGCCGAGAAGAGGCAAGCCTCGGGGACGCTGAGGCCAAGCACAGCTCGCCGGCTCTCAACACGAGCGTCGCGCGAGCCGTGCTGCTCACGGGCAGGGCAGCCACCGACGTGGACAACCGGCCATTTGCCCGCGCCGCGCCGCACCGCGATGCCATGTCCGCGCCCAGAGCCGCGTCGCCTTCGCGTGCACTGCGTCCACGCAGCGTTGACACCGCGTTGACACCGCGTGGCCGCCGTTGACACCGCGTGGCCGCCGTCCATCTCGAGCATGCGATGGAGATGCCGACGGAGTCGGAGTCGCTGCCGAGCTCTTCTACGCCAAGGCTGCCAATGTCCGTCCGCTCGTCGGAGTCCCGCCCCCTCCGCCCTCCTCTGCTCCTCTTCTTCTTCCTCTCCTCTCTGCTCTCGCTCTTCTGCTTCCGCACCGCTCCGCTCCACCGCGCCTCTGTTCTCCCTTTCTTCCCAAGACCGACCTACACACCGCCATAAAAAGCCGGCCATGGCTGCCGAGCTCGCCAACCTCGCCCCATCCTCCGCCCTGCTTCCTGCTTCCTCATCCCCCTCTATTCTCTGCTCTGCTCCCCGCACCATGGACGGGCACAGTCAAGGCCGCCACGCCTCTGCCTCCGCCGCGCCGAAGCCCTTGTCGCCGGAGCCGAAGCCGCTGCCGCCGTCGCCGTGCCCTGCTCCACCGCTCCCCCTGCTCTCCTCTTCTCCCTCTCGCTCCCCCTTTTTCAGCCACCAAGCGCCGCCACCACCCCTGCCAAAACGAGCCGAATCATGGCTGCTTCCCTTGCTTCCCCCTTCTCCCTCCGCTCCGCATCTCTGCTTTGCTCTACCTTTCTCCCCCAGCTCTGCCCTGCCCTTTTCTCCCCTGCTGCTGCGCGCGGACAACAGGGAAGGACGGAAGATGTCGTCCGCCGCGCCCTCGCCTTGCCGCAGCAAGCACCGCTGCCGCCCCTGCTCTGTTTCCCCGCTCCGCTCTCGCTTTCTCACATGCCAAGCGCCACCGTGAAGAGAGGGAGGGGGTGACAGGTGGTCCCAACCTGACGGTGAGAGGGAAAGGCTTGACAGGCGGGGTCGTGGCGGGTTTACTGTGTGGAAACCGCTTTCGAATGGACGCGAGGGCCAATTTTAACTGGTTTTGAGAGTTAAGGGACTGCACGTGTCTGCTTTTCGAGTTAGAGGGCTAGAACAAAACTGCAGCCATAGTTGAAGGGCCAAAAATAGACATTTTCCTTTAAGAAATGAGTTGGTCCATCATCATCTCTTTTTTTTTTGTGGAATGTAATGTGTTAATCTATCATCACGTCATTCCTCACAAACTCTATCAATCAATATTTTAATGGCAATAGAATTTTAATAATTAGTATGAGAAATAGAGTCATTCCACTAAACTTTAAGAAATAGACTGATGATGTACCATCAATACACCATTTTCCAAAATAAATAACATAACGTTGTTTAGGACGTAACATTCAGACCAACAAGGAGCCAAGACCCCAGTTGCAATAGCTAGGTTGTTGGCGACAGGAAATCCTCTGTTTTGACCACCATCGGTAGATACAGAAGCATTTGAACTAGCCACCATTGGATCTGACAAGGGCCCCTTATACTGAGCAAATGAACGGTGATAGGTGTCAAGGTATCCCATAGGTACCGGTGAGGTATCTCAGGAGCATCTAGGTTATTCTTATTAGTATTTAGAAATTGAGTAAATTTTCGATACACCTGGGATACATATCTCGGAGTATCTGTATCCGACTATCCGTGGAGTATCCAATACCGGCATGTGAGTTTTGCGAAGTAAACCATTCTATGAAAATAATGCATAATGGATACAAGTTTCCAGGACAGCGAGCGAAGGGCACAGTTGGTTGCCCGTGGTAGTAAACAACACAGTCTAATTGAGCCCATGAGACTAGAGAGCCTGCAAACTTGGTTTGTACCTATCTGTTACTTTGAATGGCTGACATTTTTCAACTTTTTATTGGAGGATCCCTGTGCACAGGATTAGGCTGCCAACTACTAATATAATTTTTTGAGATTTGTTTCTTAGTCCTTTAACCTAAACCTATCTTCTCTCCTTGCCATGCACATTGAACTCACCATCTTAGTTCGTGCAAGGACTAGCAATGACAGGGTGTATACCAGGGCAAACTGTCAAAAATCAAGGCACTGCACCGTGTCCTATTTTCATGCATGATCCCTGCCAATACAAGTGTTAGTACTGGCCCTCTTCCCACACAGCCTGCCACATCCAGGGGCTTTCTTACTAACTAACAGCAGTACTACGTAGCACCTTTGTCAATCTCTCTATACTCATGACACTGCCAAAGCAGGAGCATGCTAGATGCTAGACACAAGTGTCCAATTCAGGAAGAGTTAAAAAGATCAAGGGACAGAAGAAAGACCCTAGGTGCAAGTTTTCCTGCAGGCAGAGTGGCAGGTTAAGAATAACTTCCATAAGTATTGTTACAACTGTTGAAATTGAAAATATCTATCAACGATACCCCCAATTATTTAGTTAAAAACATTCTTCAGGGATGTTAGTCCAGCTGCAGTAGGTTTATATCAAAAGGGGATTGTCATTTGATTAAAAATGAAACTCTTCCTTTCATAAACATTTGATTATTAGTTCACAGCATGATTGCCATCATTCACCAAACGTATGGCACCTCACAAATTATACATAAACATTGGGTGATTATTTATCTTTCAAGTCCAAGCTTGATTGTTTTTTCATTACTAGGAGACAACCTCAAGTAAACCCAGGATAGACACCCCCAACCAAGTATTCACTATAATTTGAGATCAGCAAATATGGACAGAACATTGAGCACAATTTATCAAGGACAGAGTTAGAAGCATACCTTTTTCATCAGATGGTAGTGGAAAAAACTGCAGGTAGCAAATGGAAGCAACCGTCAACCCTGCACATTGCAACAATAACTTAAACTTTGAGAATCGTATGTACATACATTTCATAAAAGAACCATATGTACATTAACATTTCCATTTCTTTGTGGTGCCTGTGGAGGGAATGGGAGGGGGTATTACTTAAGACTTACCAAGTAATCCACCAGTACATACATCTTGCCAGTGATGCCAATAGTCATCAACTCGAGAAACTGCCACTAAGGCTGCAAGAAGCAGAGGGGAAAGGACAATGCAGAGTTTTGCAACATGCCCTTTACGATCGAATACTTTGATTTTACCAGCCAGATACCATGAAAGGAAGCCAAGGCCAGCAAAAGACCCTAAGATAAACATAAATCTTTGAGTAATCCACCAAACAATAACAGCTGGAATGAAAAGCTCATATGACTCGAGAGAGAAGAATAACTTGTGCTATGAAATGTTAATGAACCTCCATGAGATTTTGAAACAGTTAGCAGGTAAATATGAACTGAGAACGAGATTGAGGCCACTGTATGGCTTGAGGGAATCAAATGGAGCAGCATTACTACCACCAACGCGAATTAGCATGCCATAATATTTCAAGGTGGGGCCGGAAATAGTAAAGTACATTGAGCAGCCAAGTATAAACAAATAAACTGCTAATCTTACAATTACTAGGAACAGGACGCACAACACACTGGTACAAAACAGCTTGAGGGGAAGTACGACTCTGGAGACCAATTGGGTCCTCGGCGGTTGAGCTAGCCACTAACGCGGAGATGGAGCCTGCCGGTCCTAGGGCCCCGGCTATGTGTGGAAATGATAGTTTAGCTTTTGTTTTACTGTCTCTTCTAGCAAGTGTTAATCTTATTATTACCAATTACTTATTCCTTTTTGAACCCCCATGTTAATTCTTACAAGACACGCTAGAAAATAAGATAAATCCTAGAAATTCTCACGAAAAATAGAAACAACTAGCCATCAATTCTATAGACTCCAATTATCATTGATAATAATAGACATTGGATCTATTTTGTTTTCTAAATAACTACTCATCTCCACCATTTTGAAAAATAGTGTAAAGTAACCCCTATAGCTATATCTAAATTATCCACCTCTTTTCTTTCATTATGAAAAAATAACCTAAAATAACCCTCTAAATCTTCATCTTATGAGAAATAATCTAGTTCACATATAAAATAACTTTCTAAATCTGTTTCTAAATTACTTACCTTTGGCATTACTCACTTCTTCAATTGTTGATATAAAAAAACAAACACAAGGTATACTGCATAATGTGTGTCACAATGCAGACCGCGTATACATGTATGCAAGAAGTGATGAGTATAATTGATTTCCATGTTAAACACATAGCTCAAGCTAAGGATTTAACTAACCACATGTCAAATATGCATGGAAGTGCAATCCAAAGGGTAACGACTATGAATGGGGACAGAAAAATATATAGAGTAATTGGTAATTTTAGTTTATCACAATCACATAAAGATTACGAATTACCTATACGAGTATTGATTTAGAATACGAGAATAAACGAGGGATAACAAAGATAAGCAACTTTTATTAGTCGTAGGTCCTAAATTTATCCACAAACTTGTAACACTTATGTTTATTAAAATTAATATCCATGCAGGAGCACGGGTTGATGGGCTACTTTGTCAATATATGTAGATTATGCTTATACAGCAAATTATCAGCATCACATTTTTATATTATCAAGATAATTCGTACTATCATTTGCAGCAGCAATCTTTTGTGTCGGCTGACTTCAACTTTTAATTTGTACACTCAATGGAAGAGTGAAAGAAGAATGCAATATTTGACATAAAGGGCTAAGAGGATCACATGGACAGATAGAAATGGAAAAAACATCAATATATTTGTTTCTTGAGAACTCTATTAAAGAGACATTGTATACAAAACATATGAAACATCTTGTCCAATACTATTAGCTGATTAAGAAATATTCAGCAGTAGCTAAAACAAAGATTGGAACCTAGAAAAAGAGGCATCAATTATTATGTTCACTAAACTGCTGAGAAGGTAGTTAGCGCAATCATAAAATAGGACATTTCCCAAACCGTTAATTCTAGTAACATGGGGCTAATCCCTATATTTGTAAAGAATAATGTCACTTACATGAAGTATGACCACTTGGAAAGCTCTTATGACCTTCTTTAATAACACTCGCCTCGCCATGGCATATGGCGCCTGTAGTAAAGTTGTTATAATCCTAAAGGCCAAGTAAATTCATAAGCTCTCTTATACAATTCACATGCAATGTAATTGCACAAGGGCTTCAAGTGAGTAATTATTAAGGTCTGGCTAGAAGTTATGAATCTTACAGGTATTCCATCAGGGAAGCAACGCCAGAAGAAATCCGGACGTGGTCGCCCAACACCATCCTTGATCACATCAGTTAAAACAGCAGTGATAAGCACTGAAAATAGGAGACCTGCCAGGACAAGCTAGATTTGAGAATAAGTAATAAATGGATAAACTAGCACGACGAATCAGGCAAGAAAGTGGGTGTACCTAGTATGGCATGATGCAGATCATATACATTTCTCTTCTTAAAGTATATCGCTGTTATGATAATGATAGGCCCAATGATACCAATTATCTGAATAAGCGTGATTGAAGAAAAGGTATTCAGGAGGTTCATCGGAATTGACAAGGTAACACTACAAGAGAACAGTATGTTACCGGCACAGCCCAAAATGGCACTGTATTGTCCTTCATGGGGTATCTGAGGTCTGTCATCATTTCTGATCCGACAAAGCGATGGAATGGCTCTATTATATTAAGAACTCCATCCAATACAGCTAGAAGAACTAGCACAATCCAGTCATACATGTGTAGGCGTGCAACTTTGGATCCATGAGATGTTATATAGGGAGTTGGAGCTCCCAGAGTAATTGGTGGGGCTGGTGCTGGCATTGCCTCTTGAGTCCTGAAATTGTTAACCAACTGAATAAATTTACGAAATCCACTTGATAAATTAGAAATTCAATACACGATTTGTCACAACAACATGTATACTGTCAACTGTAAGGATTTCAGTTTCCTCATATCTAAGAGGTATTAAGGACTACTATAAACTAGTAGACAAGATCTATTTGTGCCTTTATTTTCCTATAAACTAGCAGACAAGAGCTAAGGCTTTATTATCGTCTAGAGAGTAGTGCAATTTTAATTCATGGGAAAATAGTTGTGCAGTTTAACTAAATTCTTGTTAGATGCAGTAAGTATATTACTTATTATTTCACCCAAAACTTCATAATTGATGTGCAATTCATCAAATACTCCTGAGGCATGTTCAGAAGCATTAACCAATTAAGAGTCTGTGATGGAAGCACGTAGCAGAGCAACATATCAAAACCAGAATGCCTAGACGGAAGCACATTAAGCAGCCGTTTAAAGAAGCAAGAGGAAGAGCAGGAAACTAATTATTGCCAACCTGTTCCACCAAAACGAGGACAAAGCTATCTATCCGGTGGCACCGAGACGCTAGCGCGTGCTCGATAGTCTGCCGCCGCCGAGGTCTTGCCGTCTTGGGCTCTTGGCAATTCGCGTGGAAGTTAATCACGACAACTCCACAAGATGCTTGGGCCCTTTGGCTCCGCGTGCTCTCCCCTCTTCTCCCGCAGCGCGGCTGCAGTCTGCAGATGACACAACCATGAGGAATCGACAGCAAGCGCAAACAGAAACAGCAATACCACAAATACGAATACATAAAGTACCAGCGTATGGCAACCTTTGCTTCCTCCGTCTCTCCTTCGGTCCTTGCCCTTCTCTTTTCTAGCCTCCTCTTGGCTTGTGCAATGGCGCTATTGATACCATGAGAGAAACCGAGTATGCGACGCCATAAAGGAAACCGTCCACGCCGGGCCAAGAAAGTCGCATCTGGCAGGAGTTTCCCTGCGCTGTACGCATGCGAAAATTTTGACGGGCCAGATGACCCCTCCCGGCCATCACCGGCGGCGCCGCCGGTAGAAGAATGGCCAAATATTCGGGCACGCGGCAGTTGAAATATGACCGTGTCTGGTCCTGATCGAGGGGGATTTCGGCATTTCGCGGCTGCCTGGGGAAGGAGGTATCTGGACTGGGAGTTGGACTTGGGAGTTGGGAGGACTCTCACGCTCTCTGGCTACATACCGATTTTTCTTTCTTGCCTTTTTTAATTTAACGCGTAAAGTTTTAGAGTGTCACGTTAGATATTACATAGGATGTCGTATTGGGTGTTTGAATACTAATAAAAAAATAAATTATAGAATCCTTTAGTAATCCACGAGACGAATTTATTAAGTCTAATTAATCCGTCATTAGCACATGTGTTAATGTAGCACCACATTGTCAAATCATGGACTAATTAGGCTTAAAAGATTCGTCTCGTAAATTAGTTGCAAACTGTATAATTAATTATTTTTTAATCTATATTTAATACTCTATATAGGTGTTAAAACATTCGATGAAATAGGAAGTTAAATTTAGGAAGAAAAAGTAAACAAGGCCTTATTGTTCTTCTTCTTCTTTAACGAGGGGAAAGGATATACCGATGTAGTGTTGGCGTCAGCTACTTTGGGCCATGGGGTTCGATCTGGCATTGGGCCGTGGTATGCATGGTTTGGGTACGCCCAGCTAGTTGCTAAAAAAATCATATTACCTCTCTTAACTTTTGTGAAAGTATGCTTTGAACCACCTCCCTGAACTTTTAAAACCATTCATTTTACCTCCCTGACCAGTTATAAGCGGTTTTTAAAGACGGTTTTGTCTTTTTATTTATTTATTTCGGCTAGATCTTTGAAAAATTATAGTAAGTCACAAAAGATCATAAAATGAAAATCCATTTTTCTTGGATTCCACATGAGTATATCTACACAGCGGAACACATAATATGGTATGCTTTAGTATAAATTTTTTGATGTAGCTTTAGATCTATGCTTTTATGTAATTAATTCATAACTGTAGTTTCTATGGTCTAATTGTGGTGAAATTTTTATGATGGACTAATTATTGTCTCCCAGCTCTCCATTGAATGTTTAAAATGACCTACAAAACCTAGGGTGATTATCATTGGTCCCAAAAGGCAATTTTTCATAATATTTCTTCATCTTTCACCGAAACCATGTCAATTAAATAGACATGCAACTGTAGACGCAAGATTCAAGTTTTCATTTATTTTTTAACCATAGAGCATGATCTTAATGCAACTATTTCATAAGGCCACATCTTTATAACTGAAATATTTCCCACGACTATTTATGTGAATTTCGTATAGAAAAACTTTGAGCGCTGTGAAATTTTAAGGAAACAAATCGATAAAATAAAGGATAAAAGAAAATAAAACAACAGAAGGAAACATATATATACAGTGACATAAAAACATGCTCACAGCGGAGCATATATTAAGACCAACAAATAGTAAACGTTACAACCAAGTGTAACAATAATGAAGCAAAAACTACGTTTTGTTATCATAGCATCTAGTCTCTTTTTCAACTGAAACTATTGGATCAACAAAACAACATACAACCTAGATCAAAATATATCGGATTGCTCACTTATGGAGAATATAATCGGATTTCAATAGATTAGGTAGTTAAGTGAAGGAACATGCGTCTATTACACTCTACCTTAATTATTTTGTGAATGTCTAGAATACAATATTTCAGGATGGAGGGAGTAGATTTCAACTTCTATTGAGTGGATGAAAATTGCGTTATTTGTTGAATGGAATTAAGTTTTCACTAAATGGATGGTTTTTGAGCTTTGCATGTGCTCCCGCAACAAGAATAACCAAGATTTGAGTAAATATCATATGAACTAAATGCTTTTTAATAACAAAAAAGATGGCTCCCAGCTCTCCGTTGAATGTTTAAAATGACCTACAGACCTAGGGTGATGATCATTGGTCCCAAAAACAACTTTTCCATGCTCTACAACAAATATTTTCAAATTCTTTCAAAATTGCTATGAAACAATGAAGAGTTAGCTATTTATTTATCATTTGTTTGTGAAATATCAATGAAATAGAAAATACTTTCAAATTTATAATGAGGCATCAAAGAATTTTTTTCATAATATTTTATCATTATTTTTACCAAAAGCATGCCCATTAAATAGACACAAGCTTCAAGTTTTCATTTTTTTAACCATGGAGCATGATCTTAATGCAACTACTCCCTCCGCTCCAAATTATAAGTCGCTTTGACTTTTTTGGTACATTTTCATCTTGTTATGCATCTAGATATAATAATATGTCTAGATATATAGTAAAATGAATGAACAAAAAAAAGTCAAAGCGACTTATAATTTAGAATTGAGGTATTTCATAAGGCCACATCTTTATAACTGAAATATTTCCCATGGCTATTTATGTGAAAAACTTTCGCTATGAAATTTTAAGGAAACAAATCGATAAAATCAAGGATAAAAGAAAATAAAGCAACCGGAGGAAACATATATATAAAGTGACATAAAAACATGCTCACTGCGGAGCATATATTAAGACCAACGAATAGTAAACGTTACAACCAAGTGTAACAATAATGAAGCAAACACGACGTTTTGTTATCATAGCCGCATCTAGCATCTTTTTCAGCTGAAACTACTGGATCAACAAAACAACATACAACCTAGATCAAAATATATTGGATTGCTCACTGATGGAGAATAGAATCGGATTTCAATAGATTAGGTAGTTAAGTGAAGGAACATGCGTCTATTACACTCTACCTTAATTATTTTGTGAATGTCTAGAATACAATATTTTAGGATGGAGGGAGTAGATTTCAACTTCTATTGAGTGGATGAAATTGCGGTATTTGTTGAATGGGATTAAGTTTTCACTAAATGGATGGTTTTTGAGCTTTGCATGTGCTCTCGCAACAAGAATAACCAAGATTTGAGTAAATATCATATGAACTAAATGTTTTTTAATAACAAAAAAGATGTCTCCCAGCTCTTTGTTGAATGTTTAAAATGACCTACAGAACCTAGGGTGATGATCATTGGTCCCAAAAAGCAACTTTCCCATGCTCTACAACAAATATTTTCAAATCCTTTCAAAATTGCTATGAAACAATGAAGACTTAGCTATTTATTTATCATTTGTTTGTGAAATATCAATGAAATAGAAAATACTTTCAAATTTATAATGAGGCATCAAAGAATTTTTTTTCATAATATTTTATCATCATTTTTACCAAAAGCATGTCCATTAAATAGACGCAAGCTTCAAGTTTTCATTTTTTTAACCATGGAGCATGATCTTAATGCAACTACTCCCTCCGTTCCAAATTATAAGTCGCTTTGACTTTTTTGGTATATTTTCATCTTGTTATGCATCTAGATATAATAATATGTTTAGATACATAGTAAAATGAATGAACAAAAAAAAAATCAAAGCGACTTATAATTTGGAATGGATGTATTTCATAAGGCCACATCTTTATAACTGAAATATTTCCCATGGCTATTATATTTATGTGAAAAACTTTTGCTATGAAATTTTAAGGAAACAAATCGATAAAATCAAGGATAAAAGAAAATAAAGCAACCGGAGGAAACATATATATACAGTGACATAAAACACATGCTCACTGCGGAGCATATATTAAGACCAACGAATAGTAAACGTTACAACCAAGTGTAACAATAATGAAGCAATTAAACACTACGTTTTGTTATCATAGCCGCATCTAGCATCTTTTTCAACTGAAACTACTGGATCAACAAAACAACATACAACCTAGATCAAAATATATCGGATTGCTCACTGATAGATAGATAATCTAGATGCGCATCAGGATAATTTTACCAGTCTAGCAACATTCAATCAAACGGCAAAAGCTGGTTGGACATCTCAATATACGCATAATAAAGCACCCTGTTCTTGGCGCCGGTGCGGTGTCGTCCGTTCTTCATGCAGAAGTACCTGAGCTGCTCCAGCGTGCAGCAGCCGAGCATTTGACCCAGGAAGAGGAAAAGCCAGTTGATCTCGTGCTTGTCGGCGGCGATCTCCGGCCACATGGCGCCCTTGTGCCCGCACGCGTCGCAGTCCGGCAGCGCCGGGAACTCCCACGCCTTGGGCGCGCGGTCGTACATGGCGTGGCGGTTGGCGACGATGTACTCGCGCACCTCCCGGAACTTGGACTCCAGGTCGTAGGCGATGGCCTTCCTGCCTCCGCAGCGCTTGCACCGCGCCTGGCCCTCGACGGACGTGACGCCCCGACGCAGCAAGCTCTGCAGGGTGCCGTGCTGCGCTGGCCGCTCAGTCGCCCATGGGAACGGCGGCGCCTGGACAAGGTCGCCGGCGTCCGCGCGAGGGTTGACGCGGTGGACGCGGCGGCGGACGGCGCGCGTAGCAACCAGCGGCAGAGGAGGTGGCGGCGGTGAAGCTGGAGAAGCGGCGGCGTAGATGGGTGCCGAGCCATTGTTGAGGCGGCGGCGTTGGGTGGCGCGCGGTGGTGAGGCTGGAGCGACGGCGGCGGCGGCGTAGATGGACCCGAGGGTGAGGGCGAGGGGGTCCAGCTCGTCGGCGTGGCGGCTCGCCGCTGCTTTGCCTTCCATTGTCACCGAGCAGCGCTTGCTTGCTCTGGCTGCTTTGTTGCTGACGGCTGGGCTGTTTATAGGGTTTTAAGGAGCGGATGTCGGAGGCTGGTTGTTGCCGGCTTATCCTGGGCGATCGCGAGCTTATCCTGGGCGCCGATCTTGCTAGCTCCGACGAAGCTGGAGCGTCCGATGCGATCTCACGAGGTGGTTCAGTTCTAACATACACCACGGCGAGTCTCCGGGAAGGACGACCAGGAGAATCTTTTTCTCTGGGATGATTGGCCTTTTCCGACCATTACTATCTCTTGCCGTTAATGCCATCTGTCTTGCCATGCCGTGATTATCTGACTGGGGTTGTTCGGATCGTCTTCCAAAGATCGAATGACCATTTTGGTATGGCGACCGGGCTAATGCGAGATCTTACATGTTTTCATGTCTGAGTCTGACCGATATATGTTCAAGTCGATCCGTGTTTGCCGTGAATGAACCGATTGTCCTGGAGAGGTTGCGATTGGAAAATTTCAAAGTTTCCTTATACAAGAAATAAAGATCGCAATGAGCCAAGAATAATAAGCCAGACACCTCAAATGGTGATCTCCCATTCTCTCCTCCCGTAAGACCTTGTTCCATCTCTACCCCAAACCAAAGGGGTTGGAGGAGATTAGGAGGATTTTATCCCCTATGGTCAAAAACCCCTAGGGATTTAGTCCCCTATAAGTCAAAATTTCTCTCAATCTCCTCCAACCCTGTTGTTTGGTGTAGAAACGAACAAGGCTAAAAGAGGTGGGGGGAAAATGGTGATGGAGGGTTAGGTGGGAACAAGGCCTAAAAGGGATGGGGGAAATGGTGATGGAGGATTTGGTGGGAACAAGGCCTAAAAGGGGTGGGGGAGAAATGGTGATGGAGGGTTAGGTGGGTTGGCTACTTCTAGTTCCAATAGTTGGAAGATTTTAGTGAAGATCCAACGCTCCTTAAAGGTACAGGTGTATTTTAGCGGGCGGACTTAATTAAATGGACCCATATGGTTAGCGGGCATTTTTTTCCCAGCTAACACGTGTACTGTAGGTCAGCATTTGCAATCCAGACATGCAAAACTAAATACTGTCCATGACAAAAACTTGGATACAACCAAAACAGACAAACTATACAGTGCAAACCCAAAGGCAAGTGTAAACATGCAAACTTTTTCAAAAAGCATACATCCGTGATTTGGAAAATTTTGAAACAATGCATATCCATAGTGCATTCATATATGTACCTTATTTCAAAGTTTGAGATTCAAACTCAATCTAGAAAAAATCATGCAAAAATGACAAAATTGGAGTCCATGTGCACTAGAAGACTAAAGTCCTAAATATTTGTCTTGTAGTGCATATGCACCTGAGTTTTGTCATTTCTGCGTGATATTTTTTATATTGACTTTGAATCTCAACTTTTTCAACAAATTACACATATGGGTAAACTGGATATCCATTGTTTCAAAAAATTCGGATCATGGAAGCATGCTTTTTAAAAAAAAAATATATATGTTTACACCTACCTTATATATTTTCCCACCAAAAGTGCGAGAGCCCGGATCCAGAGATTGAAGAATTGCCGAAGATATGGATATGATCTCATGTGAAAACGATCGGAAATGTGCGTTATTGGCTCTAAGGCCCCATTCGGCTTACCTTATAATCCGCACTATTTAGCTTGTTTTTTCAGTCCGAACAGTGTTTTTCTCTCACAACAATTCAGCTAGAACAGTGTTTTTCAGCCAAGTTTCAGCAAGCCGAACGAGGCCTAAATCAGGGTTTTATGGGGTTTATATGTCATAAAGGAACCAGTTGTTTGGATCGAGGCCAAGCAAGTTCAAGGGCCGAGAGAATTTGGCAAGAAACAATACTTTTTGGAGTTATGTCAAAAATTGGTAAAGTTTGTGCCCATGAGGCCATGACACGTAGAATGCACAATACCATTGATTTTATATTACATTGAAATATAGCTGACATGCAGTGGTGGAGCTTTATCGGGGCCAAAGGAGGCCATGGGCCCATGGCCACCCCTCCATTCGAGCAATTTGTTAAGAAAACTAGCGATTTCAAACCATTTTGTTGGTGAATAACCATAGAATTGTTATGTTTGACCTGTCTTCTTCATCATTGGCCCCTCCTGAGATTTCAAGCAAGCTCCGCCACTGCTAACATGGATCCTGTTTTGTGGACAATGAATTTTTATGGTGAAGTCGGATTACTGATTTGATTAGTTTTGGAAATACCGTTGTTTCTTCTAAGCTCATTCCAGATTCTTGAACTCCATGCAAGTAGTAAGCACTAGGTACCTCCGTACGTACCTGCCAGTCTGCCACAGTGCCACCTCATCCATGTCTCCGTTGCCCGTGTTCAGTCCTCGCTGCCGCAGTGCCGCATGCGTTGTAGCTGCCCAATGCCAAATTCTATTTGGCTTGCCAACGGTAGTTAGGCTTTTCGGTGGCATGAACTAAAGGTAAGAAAAAATTTAGGGACTATCAAATTTTGGTTAGGCTTTTCGGTGGCATGAACCAAACGTAAAAAAAATATAGTTTTCAAACCTAGTATTTGTGTTTCTTACAGCAAGAGCTTTGGAACAATCCCCGTATTGGATGATTTCAAATACCATTTTTCTCGTAAAGTTGAAACTTTTTTTTTACAACAAGGTTGAAACTTTTATGAATTGAGCAGAACAATGTTCCATATTCATGAGAAAGTTGATCCAAGTGCAGGAGAACAATGTTTTAAATAAAGTAAATAGAAATACTCCCTTCGTTCCAAATTATAAGTCATTTTGACTTTTTGTTACGTCCATTTTACTATGTATCTAGATACAATATTATGTCTAGATACATATCAAAATGGATGAACCAAAAAAATCAAAACGATTTATAATTTGGAACGGAGGGAGTACGTTGCATCTTCATGTGGAAATATTCTTGGTTGACGAGGGAAAAAATCCAACTTCATGAGAAAATGTTCCAAGTTGAAAAGAAAAATTTCCAGCTTCACAATAAGTATTCTGAGGCCAAGATAGCAGCATGTTCTAGATTTAGAAGAAAATCAGATGTTCTAGAGCATTCTACTCATAAATATTCTAGTTTCATGAGAAATTGTTGTAGTTTTACGAGAAAAATAAAACGTTCTAGCTTCACTAGAAAATGTTAAATCTTTAGGAGAAAAATGTTCTGATTCAAGAAGACTATGTTGCAGATCTATGAGAAAAATGTTCTAGATTGAAACGAAGAATGTTATAAGTTCACAAAAATGTTTCATGTTCAGTTCACAACAATAATGTTCTAGGACTAGAGGAAAAATGATCTGGTTTTATGAGAAGAATGCTCTATTTGGAAAAAAGCAAAATGTTGTGAATAACACAATGTTATAGCTTTATGAGAAAAATGTTCTATCTTTATGCAAAAATGTTCTAAGTTCACTGAATGAATGTTCGTACTGTTGAAAACATAAATAGAGTCAAATAAATTAAAGAGTAGAAGATTCAATACACAAAATGAAGACATAATGAAAAAGAAAGAAACCAAAGAAACATATAAACGGGGCTATTGTCTCTCTTCTTGGACCAAAAATGTAAAAAGAAATGGTCTGACAATGTAAAACTTAACTTCCACCTGGCCTGGGCCTGGCTGCCTGGGGGGCGTGGAGCCGAAAATTTCTCCGTGCGGGGGCCTATACGCTTCTCGGAACGGTATTTCTAAATATCTTCTAGCAGATTTCTTGCCTTATTCTCTTCCACTTTTATGTGGTTTAGATCTTTGTTGAGATTCTTGTTTTTTAATAGCGCGTACGCGCGCACGGCGCATCAACCCGTCGAAGCCCTATGCTCGGTGGGCCGTGGGCCAGCAAGTGATGCCCGTGAGCCGCACCACGGATGGCCGGATGGGTGGCTCTCGGTCGATCCTGCCCGTCAGCGTGATGGAGCCAGAAATGTGGTTCTTTTTTAGGGCCCTGCAATATAATTTTTTTAGAAAAAATAGTTAAATTTTAATTTTTCAGTGGAAAATTTTCAGCTGTACGAATTAACCAGACGAATTGAATAACCTGCGTGGTGCCATGCCCCTGTCCATTCGTGCAGTCTACACATGCATCTGTTGAGTCTACACTGTCATTTTTTTTTTGTCATTTCAGATTTTAATTTTCTATTGTAAGCTGTTTCTATTGGCTGGATATGTGTTGTAAATGTGATGTCTTTTTTTTATTAATTTTTTTCATTCCTCATTTTGATTTTCTGTTGTAAGCTGCCTATTGGTTGGATACGTGTTGTTATTTTCTTTTTGTCATTCTAGAATTTTTATTTTCTGAATGTGGAAGATAACAAACATAAAAATCTTCCGGAAGCTGTCATGTGACGTATATGTGTGTTATTTTCGTTTTATCTTTTTTTTATCACATATGATGTGGCAACTTTTGATTTGCTGAAAAAGTGGAAGACAACAAACATAAAAATCTTCTAGAAGATATGTGGTCAGTCTAGGCCTTCCATTCCAACTCCCAAGCCGAGCTCACCGATCGAAACAGGCTGAATGCCTGGATCCATCAGCATCTCCTCGCGGCATCGCGGGCCGGCCTACACCGAGGGCTCGGCCGCTGCGCCAACCAGAAAACGTACGGTGGGTGTGCCAGCCTGCAGCGGCCCAACACTCCGGGCCGCCGGGCGCAGGCGCAACTGCTCAAGCGAGCAAGCAAAGCCCGTTGGCAGAGGCGCAGGGGCAGGGCCCTGGGGAGGCAGCACCAGCACGGGTCTTCGTTCGACTCCGACTTCGAGCCGTGCGCCCGCCGCGGCTGCCTCCCAACTGACGGCTGGCACGCACCGTTTTTTGGCAGGACGTGGCCACGCCAGATGCGGGGACACGGACAGAGCGGCCGTGCCGGCTTTCTCAGAGCGCAAACAGTGGCAAGTTATAGTGGGGTGCTTTCGTGCTACTCGACCATCGTGCATGCGTGATGCTCCTTCAAACGCGTTTTTCAAATTTCAGGCATGCTTGGTCG